TCTGTTTTCTTACAGATTTTTACCATTTCAGATGGGGATGATGCCACATTTGATAGTTAAGCTGAATATCATTCTGATTACATTTAAAAACTTTCTTATAAGAACGCTATGAAAAAATAATAAAAATAATTTGATCGAGCGATTTCGATGAGCAATATATGTATATTCCCTAGTTAAAATATACTTATACATATATGTAATATTTAAATTCTCATTTTAAACTCAATGTTAAATGACCTGAAGTCTTCTATTCTTAATTTATCTAGACAATTATAAAATGTCAATAACTGTAGCCTTTTTTTAATATGATCATTTTTCATACTTTAATAATTACACTATTTAAATTTTGCCAAGACCTTGAATATGGATAGCTATAAGCCTCTTGCTAATGCAAATAAAATAGCCGTAAGTATAAATTTGATGTGCCTAAGTTAGTTTTATCTCATATTTAAATTAGTGTTCATATTAGAAATTCTATTATTGCGCTCATAGGAATTTTATTTGAATCAAAAAAATTCAGAATCAATCAATTCAGATAAACCAGGCCCTTTCACAGTAATTATATAAGGTAGGTACACTGATAAGTACACTGGTGTAAATAAGAATAGCTGCTATATACCGGTATTCGGTAATGATTAGGTACCTTGATGTTTTCAAAAGATCGATGTGAAAAAAGAAAAAATAATGTGCAGTATTTAAAACGTATACTTCATAAAATAGGTAATTTAAAATGGTGTTGAATTTACCTGTGAATTAAGTGAATAAAGGATTTTTTCTTGGTAAATTTGAAATTTGAAACATTTGATAAATAATGTCTGGATTTTTTAAAAAACTGTTTTGGTTATTTTAATGTTTATATAGATATAAGTATGAGTCAGATTTACATTTAATAAATATAAAGATGTATAGTTTGTATGGAATAGTTTAATCGATATTATATTTTTAAAGAAAATTACATAGTTTCTATTCAGAATAAATATTATAGGACTATTTTATATTCAATAAATTACGTTTAAAATATATAAAATTTCACGTGCTATTTGCTTTGGTATATATCATGTCAATAATGATACATAAAGCAGTATTATCAAATATTTTGGATACTGCCTTTTTATGATTACAGAATGAAATGCTACATATAGCCCATACAAATATTCCCTGTTAAATTTCCGTTCGTTGCTTGTAGCACTTTTTTGAGCCTGGTTTCTTATATTTTTGCTCTTGATTCGGGAATTTATCACACATAACTTGTAAGATAGATTTTCTTTAAGGAACTAAAAATCATTAGAAATACCTCAAATTCGAGAATTCGAGTGCCTTTATTACAATTGTATGTGTTATTTTGAAAAGTAATTCACCATTTCTAATACATTTCTTTTTATAAAACAAGTTTATAAATTATTATGAATGATAATAAAACTTCGAGATTGACTTTTAAATGGGATCGGATATTACAAAAAATATTAAGTGATAAGTCTTACTTCAGATATTTCATAATATGACAAATGCATATAGAAAACGATGTAATATGTTCAACGCCAATTGATTAATTTATAAACTTATATATTTATTACTTTCATTACTACGGTACAAAAATACGTGTCCATAAATTTCAGTACTCATAATTTATAATTTTGATAATAACTTTGAATTTATCGTTAAAAATAAGCTTGAAAGATATTCTGATTGAATAGTTATGTTATGTTATTATTTTATATTTCTCATTCAACATGATTTATGAAGTTTTAACAAACGTGTTATTAGTTACAATGTTGACATTTATAAGAATAAACTCCAAAAGGCTTACATGTATCTGCTACCGCGATGTAGAATACTATTGGCGCCATCTAGTTTGTTCTTTACGAGTAGCAACATTGGAAACTAGACGAAGGAAATTTAAAATTGGGAATTTTTCCCAAGCAAAACAATATTTTCAGGTATATTGTTCGCGTTATAAATTATAATTTTGTCACTTTGCTTATAGCAGAAATTTGAATTTTTAAGAGACCAGTCTAGAATTCGACCAACATGTAGACTCGTACTGAAAATGCCTGCTCATAACAGCAAATTTTACAGCCAGTCTTTCACTGTTCAGGCTATAACTCTTTGGAACGACTTACCATTGAGCATTCGAATGTCGAAAACCTTACATGCTTTTATCTCCGTAAAGAAGTTATGTATATCTCTGATCACAGTAATGATGAAGACATGATTATGACAAATATTTATGTATATATATATGTATTTGTATGTATGAATGTAAGTAGGTGTGTATGTATGTATTTATTGATATATGTATGTATATTATTGAATATTTATTACTGTTATTTTAAGAATATTTAATATTGCACCACCCTACACTGTCTTCCAAACGCAATCCTCTAACCCTAGGTAGTCTGGAAGAAATGGCTAATAAGACATAAGGCCGCCTTTTGTTTTACCATTAGTTTTTAGTTTGTATTTTTCTGTAATTATTTGTATTGTAATTGTGGTGTACAAAAAAGAGCTAAATAAATAAATAAATATTTTAATAATGTAATTTCATAATGTAGCTCTAAATAAAACAATCTTACTTATGGTTTTAATTAGAACATCACCCAAATTTCTCTAAAAATATGTTTGATATAAACCATTCCCCAAAACCCATTCACAACTATGGACTCATTGGCTAATATCTTCTTTTCCTTATGACTTATGTTTTTCCATCCACATACTCTTTAATCATTAAAACAATTTAACTAAAAAAGGTTACGGAAAGCGGAAATGATAATTCGAATTCCCCAAGAGCAAGGAGTATAGTTTCCAATCTCAAAGTGCAACGTTATTTGATTCTTTTATCAATGAATGAATGAATCAGATCGGTGGAGACAGGAGATAAAGCCTTAGATTACCCTAACTATTATTCCATAAAGTCCTTCAAATCGAAAGTGTTATTACATGGATTCCTTTTCGTGGCAAGATTGCAAATTGGCAAGCTTTAAAGATTTTGCAGCTTTACCGTCAGCTATGGACTTTATGCTACAAGGGTGTTGGTCAGTGAGGGCAATTTTAGAAAAAGAGTGGGAGTAGGAGTGAGAAAGATATTTATTAGTCAATTTCTCTAATTAAAAAAATAATAATTATCCCATTAAATTTAAAATCATTGAAAATTAGAAGATACAAAAGATTATTTAATCAACTTTTTTACTTGACGAAGACTAAGAGAAGATATTCCTTTACACAGTCAGAATAAAATTTTCCGAGATATTACTAATTTTACATAGCTTAAAGGAAATAATAACTATAATATATAGTAGATTCCGGAAGGGTTCGGTATAAAGTGCTTTCTTAGGTAAAAGCAGAAGAGATATCTATAATTATATTACCATTATCGAAAGGGTGAGGTTAAGTTATGATTACCAAAATTATTGGGCTTGTAATTTGACGCTGTCTTTCATAACGATATTCATATAGGACAATCCTAAGTTGAAACATTTTATATAATTTATTTTTAGTACGAATTCTGTCGTTGTTTTTTTCATATGGAACTAGTATTAACTTTATGGGTCCATTTAGATTTCGTTTAGTTCAGACGTCATTATGTATATTTATTTAATTGCACCTTCTAATGAAAATGAGGTTGGAACAGTCATTCTAAAATTGCACTAGAGAGACAGGTGAAATAATTTAAAAATAGCTACGTTTCTTGGAATATAAAAGTATCTTACAGATTTCTTTATCGAAAAAAAATAAATGAAGAACCATGTACATATTTCAAAGTCATTTAGTAATATTGTTGTTTTTCATAATCATATTTATACCTTTCCATCTCTTATTTCATATCCTAATTATAAATTTTTTTTAAAGCCCAACAATGTTATAATTATGACAATCGATGTAACTTAAGATTGATTCAAATCAATATATTTAAGATTGATATAAATCAGGATTTAGATATTTTAAATATCATTACTTATAATTAATCATTTTTTTTAAATATTAACTTTTGCTTTTTATAATTTTAACAGTCATCCAAGACATTACTGAATAGTTATGTATGTCTCACTTCTATTAGACCTCCCACGATTGTTCGAAGAAGATACTCTATTGCATTCATTCGAATATTAAAATTTAACCATTAAAGCATATAATAAAGCTATAATAAATGTAGCTTTCATAATTATATTTTTTTATATCTTTAACCAAAAAGACAAAGGTTAATAAAATGATCATTTATTTAAGTTTTTGTTGAAAAGGTGCACCTGTTGGCTGCTTTCAAAAGCGTTAAACATCAAAATGTACCTACCTGTAACCCATTTAAATAAATTTGTAGTAGCAGCAAGTTACTAATCTATGCATTCAACTTCGACTCATAATGTAAATTTGGAACCATTTATTTTAGACGTTGATATTTTAATCGTTTTTCTATGTAAAATAGATAAATAAGCATAGTCGAAACAGTTAATAGTTTATTTGTATTATTTTTAAATCTTGGAATGTAATTCTAACTGTAAAATTTCTTATAGGTGCTTTTGAGGCTACTTTCCTGTCTTATCGCTTTAAGAGACGTTCTCATCTGTTATGTTTGATAGGTGGTAGGTATCACAGAAGACATGTTAGGGGCCATTATTTGTTATCTAGAATAGACAGGTGGGCAGCTTAAGTGAATTCAACGAATAAAGTAACGGATCTTCTTTATGTCTCATACCGCCCCAATGTCATCTGCTTTCATAAAATTAACCATACAAATATAATTGTTAGGAACAAGTGCATGGCAACTTTTAATTTATTTAGTACTTTAAGAATGTTTGTAAGGTTGAACGAAATCATCTAAATGTTCATTGTTACAAATATGTGGTGTACACCAAAATTAATAGATATCTCAATTGAAACCCATTTAAATAGTGAAACTAGAACGGAAATATGTAAAAAACATAATGAAGAGTCTCATTATAATATCAATCAATGGCAATTAAGCAACTACGGCACTACGAAGGAACTTTTTTGTTACTGCATTGTAAATGTTGACGCTGCACCCATTTAGGATTTCACGCGTCGGAAACTTCAAGAGTCATAGTCACTGGTCGGCGGAAGAAGGTAATGGAGCCGTCTCAATTCGACACGACATCGTCTCCATCCCATTACGAGGTTACCAGACCGAATGCCGGTCACCTTTCTTTAAATTTTTATCTTCATATGTAAAATGTTTAGACAATTACCTCAAAAATTAGGAAATTATTTTAAGCATTCTGTATCTACGAAACTCCTTTTTCAATTCGGTCTAATATAACGGTATGTTCTAAGTAAAGATAGGAGTGAAAATAAGTTAATAAGATTATTATTATACTTCATGCTGGATCCGGAGACCGGCTTTTAGGGACGGAATGTTTCTAAAATCGTGTATAAAAAACGACTGGTCCCCAAGGGATCGGTCATTCCGAGGTCGGATCGGGTGCACGCATCTTCGTTCGGCTTTGTATAAGTAGGGACTTTATAAAATCTCTTAATCCTATTTTACGTTATATACAATTGCGTCACCAGCACCGATTTGGGTGTTCTTTTGCTTTCACATAGATAAATAATTAAATCTAGTGTAATGTACTGGCACAGAAAAATAACGGTGAGTTTTTTTATAGCTTTTTTTTTCAGAAATGCGATTTTATTCATGTAAATGCAAATTTGGTTTTGTACCTAATCTTATTTTGTCTCTTATGTGAAATATTTTTTAAATAAAAAGCTTTTTTACCGTCGACTGTACATTTTAATGCTTTTGGAAAAAGGCCGTCTTCGGCTTAAAATAACTCAATAATTTGATGCATTGTATAGTTATCAATCTTAAATATTTATTTTTCATTTACGGCTGTCTATTCGTCCATTGAGTGTTAGTTTAAATTTCAATTTACAAAGCTTTGTGGCAAACAGAATGCCGATGGAAGAGAGGCAAGTCACCTTTTAAATTTAATATTTTGTTGATCAATATTTTCACAATTAAGAACAGGCTAGTAAACTGTTATTATCATTACGATGTGAAGTACATTTCTAAAACTTATTGAGTTATTAACAAAAAAGGAGAATTTTTACAAGAAAACTTACAATACGTCGGCAAGAATTAAATTTTAATGTAATCAATAATTTTACTGTACTCTCGATTATTTAAAAGTTTGTTGAAATTGTAACTAAAATCTTTGTCTAACTATTATATCAATCAATATAGGTATACGATTTAAGAAAACATAAAATAATTAAAGTTTATAAACGATAACTTAAAATTTTATTTTAATTATATAAACTTAAGCAACAAAATAAACTTTAATTTGAATAGACTTGATTAATATATCACATTTGAAATAATAGATGGCAATTAATAAAGTTCCTTTTTAACGAGGTTTTGATTGAAGGGTTCAAGTTTGGAGTAATTACTGTATATACTTTTAAATTACACCAACATCCATCACGATCTCGTTCTAAATGTTGTAGTTTAAATTGACAGTTGATATATTTCAATTGGTTATTAGAGACTATACGTGTAAGTAAAACTGTATTAACTGTTATAACTGTATTATATAGGTTATAACATGCGTACAAATTATGATTATCGTTGAAGTAACTAAAGTTGCCTAATAAGGACATGCAATGCGAATTATAATTACTTACTCGTTTTTATGTTTTGTATGCTTTTTAATGTCTTATTGCCAAAACAATGTTTCTGTGTATATATTTAATAAATTTTAGAAAAGTAATTTTACATAAAGTTTGAAATGAATTAAAGATTTTTTTAACAAATAAAACATACATTTTTAACAATATAAACAAAATACCTGAATAAACATAAATACTGTTTTATTCCAGAAAATATTCATAGAAATTAATATCAGTCAAAAACAACAGATCTGTCAATATACATATGGATCGAGTTAAACCTTTTTACCAAAATATACTTAATATCTTTTTGATCTGAAAAAAATATTTTTCGAAGTTATGTCTATAACATTTAATATTTAATGTAATACTTTAAAATTTTTAATTTTACGCACCCACAATAATACGAATAAATCGTTATAGGTACTATATATATCCTGTATAAATATTTATTTTTAATTTGTTCACAGATGTGCATTTTTCTTAGTTTGTTTCTCGTGTCCTCGACGGAAGCATTCTTTCTAAAATGGGGATCGGAATCTAGGTAATACATAACCACTTTTATTTATTATAAGAACAATAAAATTAATAGCAATTTATGGAACATGTTTTAGGATGAAACCATTTTGCGATGTTTATTGCTTGCGATAATTGCGTGCATTTACTTGCAAATTATTGATTTATGAGATAACCTAGTGATATTCTTTTGTTACAGCAGCCAACCTGCCATGAAGCCGTGGGAGCAACCGATATCTTCATCTTACCGATACCAGTACATGTATCCTTATGAGTCTCGAAAAGTGTATCAAATACAGCAACAGCCGTACGCGCACTCACAACCTGATGTGCAAATTGCTCAAAACATGGCACCAATTCCAATCAGCGTTCCAGCTGGTGCCAGCTTGACTCCAGTTTCACTACAGCACGTCCAGCTAGTACCCTGTATGTGTCCAGTTGCTCCTGAGGAGGCTGAAAAACTTCAAGAACAAGTCGGGCCTGGGCCATACATTGCACAAAGTTATTCTCAAAACTATCAGATTCCGCAACAGATAACGGTTGCAGATAACACAAAAACGACGAAGCAATAAGTTTTAGACAACCAAATCTTGTTTTGCTTACGAAATAATTTATTTCATTTTTATTTATATTAAATAAGACTGATAGATTTAAGCGTAAATGTGTATTTCCTAAATAAATTTTTAATCAATATACGTGTTTTAATGAAACAATCACAATTATGTATAAAAGTAAGCACAATAGTACGTAGTAGCCACTAAAAGTAAATATAAAATAATATAGAATTTAATCAAACAATAGTTTTGTATTTGAAATATAATAAATACAAGACCTTATAAAATACGTAATAACAAAGTATTTTTGTGCATGTGCGCACGCGCACTGACATCACAAGGAAGTTACAAAGGCACTTTCATTGTTCTAGATATTAATCGAAATAGGAGAAACAAATAATAGCGAATAGGAAATATAAAGACTTTATTATAATTTTTTAAAGTGCCGCATTATATAAACGGTCAGATTTATTTTCTTTTTTATTTTTGGTTTGTTATAAAAACTTATTGATATTTTGATTCATTAGACGTGAATAACTAATAAGTGCCCTTCATAAAGAAGTAGAATATTTTTTTAATGTGACGGAATCATACTCAAGATGACAGATAAATTGTCTTAACATTTGTCGTCGTAAATATTAATTTGGCAAAAAATTAGTTAATTGTAAATAAATAATAGTTAAAATGATGAACACCACAGCTGAGATGTATTTAAAGGGTAATGATCTACAGGAAAAAATCAACAAACTTCATTATCTCTATCAACCTATTGATTTAAATTACATTTTTCATGAAAGTAAAATGAGAGCTATAAAAAGTATGAAGAGTATCATTAAAGAATCCAATCGACGTAGCATCCAAGAGTGTGATTACAGTGATCTCTTAGTTTGTTCTTTAACTTTAGTCTATTATTTTGGCATGAGGTTGAAAATTAATATGCTTAAAAGAAGATTTTGGATCAAATGTGATAAGAAATTATTTCACAGAGCAGAATCGGCGTTTCAGGACACTCTGAATGTACTTCAACCAGAATGTAGCGAGAAGACCATCAGAATTACTTTGGATTTTTTTTCTAATATACCACTATGGCCTTATGAGAACTTTGTTACCCAGATACTGGAAGTGGTTTTATATTACAGTCGGGGAAGGATAACTTTATTTAATCTTATGCTAACTGATATTCACTGTGTTGTATTTAGCGATGTGAAATCTGCCCGTCACCGAATGCGAGTATTATATGAGCTGCTAAAAAGTGATAATTGGATTATCAATAAACAAAAATTACTTCCATTCATCACTCGATTATTAGACTTCTTTACATGCAGCATAGCCAAAGGTACGGAGGGAATTGTTATTTACCGCTATTTAAAGAAAGGCTTTGAAGTTTGCCTCCGACGTATTTTCGAGAGAACTGAAAATCGTTGCCGTTTAATTATTATCACGACCATGTTAAATTGGTTTTCTATGGCAAATATGGATAATGATGAGGTTCTAGAATTTTCATCATTAATAGAACAAGCAGCCCAGCTTTATCAAGTTGGACAGTATAGCGAAAGTTTTCAAGAACATGTATTTTCTGATGTGTTAGCTAACTTTGTTGGCTCTTCCAATGGGGTCTACAGCCTTGTTGGATGCCGCCTTATGGTCAGATTTTTGGATAGACACTGCAATGCTGCATACCTTTCGATGCCTGCTATTTATTACGAATTTTCACAGGTCGGTACGAATTTTTTTTATTTCTTGTACTTCAAATTATATCAACGAATAAAGCAATATTCTTTATTTTATGATGCAGACTCCTCTTAAAGTAGCTGAATACAATGGAAATGATAAAGCGTTCTTAAGGCACTATAGAGAGCAAATTCATGATTACTCAATTAAAGTCGTACAATACCACAGCTATAGCCAAATTAATTTAAGGACGATGTTCTCTTTAATTGCTTGCACAATCCTAGAAGTTCCTTGCAGTCTGACGGCTGCTGCTGCATCTTGTTTGATGATGACAATCCAAGACTTCGCTTTGACTCAGGAAAAAATACCTGACAGGAGTCGTTTTTGGTTACATGCAATTGTGTTATCAATCATGTCCTTAATATGTTGGGTTCATAAAGCCCCAGATCTTTATAGATATGTGAACGAAATAATATCACGGCGGGCGAAGGATGCACCACAGTTAAATCCACCTTTGCTAAAAACTTACAACCTTCAAAGTCAACACGCTTATTGGAAGAAGTCCACATTATTTTTTGAGGATTGGGAACTTAGATATGGACTGTGGAAACACTTTCAAGCCGCAAGGGTAAATATCTTCTTAGTGTGTATAATAATTATAATCAAAGTTATTATTTTTTACTTTTCATTTTCAGCAAAAAGATAGGATTAACCAAAACAAAATGGCTAAGAAAAAGCCCATTATGGACATAAATACATAATTATCAAGAAAATGATATTGCAGTACAAAGTTATTACGTAATCTAAGAATACATATTGATATTACGCATAAAAATGTTTTATTTACTCTTGCAGCCATTAGTGACATTTCAAGATGCTTAGAAGTTTAATTCCGGAATTAACTTTCATCGGAAGTAACAAACTCAATACTCTCATACTTAGATCCTCATGCAGACATTACAATCAAATATGTATTATAAAATAATGTGATCTTTCGAACATTGACAGTACCTTGTTAGAACAATTAATTTAATAAATATTGTGATGTCTTATAGTTTAAATAAATTGGTGTATTCTATAACATTAAAATTGAGAGGATAGTTGATTATTTAGAATTCTATAATACATATAAGACCAAACTAAGAAAACCAACTTAATTATCTTAGAGATTGGAAGTTGATACGCAGGAAACGAGAAAAACAAACCCTTTTTGTGATATCTATTTTTTAAATAGATATAATATTCTGTATTTTCAAGTTAAAATTGTTTCTATTCAAACTCTCTTACTTGCATAGAAACAAAACCAATTATCAGCTCCCACAGTTCAAATACGTTTGTCTTTACTATTATGTAATACCTAAGGCATTTGTATATTTTCATATTTTCACAAGCAATTATGGGTTGAGAAAAATACCGCCCTGATGGGAATAGAAAAGACTCGAACTTGGATTGTGGCTGATGTATGGTATATATATGAATAACAACCGCATCGGTTTTCATTATTAATTTGTCGTTACGTGTAGAAACATTGCATTTAAACGCAACGGTCTATTTCTCGCACGCTCTTCTTGAGCTTTTTACCGCATCTTAGTGCTTTCTTTGTCATTGTCTTCATACAATAGACACTTGATTATGGATTGCAAATCGGCGGTAAGTAACCATAATACTATCCCATTGTATTATTGTCATTGCAATAGATATGTTTTCCATACGTTTTTTCTTGCTGTTTTTCAATACTTTTGCTTTCAAAGTACTTATTAATTTAAAATAATATTAAATCAAAATAATAAATTATTTATTAATAACATTAGTTTCTTATTTAAGACTTATTACAATGGAATATATATAGACTAGTCTGGGAGAATTTTTAGTGGATATTTTGAACCAAGTTTATAGAATTAAACATTGGTTGTATATAAATTAGTGGTTAAATGCTTTTACAATTGATCTCCGTCTAAACAAAGCACAAATGACTCTAAATAAACCAGGACACAATCCTCAGATTATATAGAGATAGATGTTCATATCTATTTAATAACTTAAGAAAAACGAACGAATGTTATACACTTTTTTAAAAATATATAATGATTTACATCTCCATCTAATCATAACTAAATTGTATGAATGATGACTACCCATATAGTTGTTTTTCAGTTATTTTTTCCAATTGAACACCCATACAAAATGTTCTACATTTTGTTTAACTAATAAATACAGAAAAATAATTAAGATTTATATTAAATATAAAATATACGACATAAGGAAAAATTATAGAAATAAAATTTTGCTAAATACAAATTTTATTAATATTTTTTGTTAGAGTAAATTTAACTCATTCCAATACGGAAAATACTGGAATCACTTTTAATTTAAATGAACCCCAACTAATAATATTTTTGTTTATTTAATTACAGCTATTGTTTTGCTTAGCGGTATTTCTAGCGGTACTTTTCACAGACTGTGAAGGGTGAGTGCAAAATAGTTAATCGTTTTACTTTTTACCAGAATTAAGAATTATCAACTTGTAAATCTATTTATTGACTAATTAATTTTGAAAACCAGATATATATATATATATATTAAATTTGTTGTCTAATAGATTTCATGATATAACAATGAGAAACAAACACACTTTCACATTTACAATAAATAAAGAATGTATTAGTCACGCATGAAAACGATCCAACTAATAAATAGTTCTTTAATATTTGTCATAACAGAACTGCTACCAATGTTACGTATTTTCTGTTTCTTATACGTGTTTCGTATACCAATATCCTATAGAAACATTTGTTTATTTAAGTTACACACGGCATATTATTATCTATATGATATGTGAGATTAATGGAGCATCCAAACTTTTAAGCGTAATTTAATTGAAATTACAGTGTTTAATCATTAAATAAAACGATCTAATAGGAAATACACATGTTTCAATAAGAAAGATTTGGTACTTGCTAAACTATTACGAAACTTGCCCAAATGCAAGACCAAGACGAGACTTGGCCAGTCTTGGTCATGGTCTTGCATCAACACACCTAGTCTTGGTCTTGGTCACGGTCTTGCACCCCTAGTCTTGGTCTTGTTCTTGCAGCAAGAGTCTTGCTAGTCTTGCAATGAACTATTAGCCTATCGCTATTTATGAAAAATTGCTTTAGATATTAGAACAACGAACAGATTAGATGAACTTTTAGCTTGATTTAACATGAAAACCAACCAAATAAATAAATGTCTAAATATTTTATGAAAAATTAAAAAAAATTACTGACACTGGCTGGGGTTTGAACCCCCGACCTAAGCGAACAGTGCCAATGATCTAACTAACCAATTGAGCTATCAACTGAGTCCCGCAAGAGTCTGTTTTTTAATAAACGTTTACATTTAATAATAATATTCAATGTACGAAGTAATGTAAGTAAGTCTAATTTTCCAAAAAAACAACATATTTTTGTGTCTCATAGAGTCCCTAAGCTTATACCCCGAATTCCTATACTTACTCCCTTAAACTACCCTCAGTCCTAACTGCAAGACGCAAGAGTCTTGCAGTTAGGACTGCAGTTAGGACTTGCAAAAATGCAAGACCAAGACCAAGACTGCAAGACCAAGACCAATTTTGGGCAACACTACGAAACTGTATAATTGTTGGCACAATGTTGGTAGTTTTTATCAATAGCGATATACTTTATACGTGTATGCGATTATATAGTTAATAATAACGGCTGTAATGAAAATATTCTAAAATTTTTTATTGTGTATTTGATCTTATGAAAGTTTTTCTTTAAAATGTTCGAATTACAGAAGGACAAAGAAAGTCGTTATCCACGTCCCATATAAAGTGAAGAAGATCAAACACGTTCATACAGTTTATAAAACGATCCATCATCATCACACTCATCATGATCATGAACATGGTCTGGTGCCTGACGACCACGAGCACTTTCACCACATGCATCTTTTGGAAGAACCTTCACCAACTCATGTGCAGGCAATTCCCGAATTCCTCCCAGATGGTCCCTTAGACCTACCGCTCGATATATCAGAAATGCCACGTGATATACCCCTGAAATCTATCCGTCATGGGATACCGTTATACAGGCAAAAATAAATACAGTTTTTACTGCAATTTTTTTTATAGATTTGACTTTGAGCATAAGAAGTCTGCTTCCTTTGTTTTAGTACAGACTAGAGGGATTATAAAAAGACAAAATTATAAAAATATATAAACAAATATGAATATCTGTAAGATTGTGTTAATTATACCAAAACTGAATCAAAAATATTGTACAAAACTTCTTCTTAGGACTAAGGCCATGTAAAATTAGTTTTATTCAACTATTCTGTAATGAATTAACGATATTTCTTAACATACCAAAGACATTATTTATTTTTACCTATGTTTTTTTAATAAGTTCTTTTATTCTATATTTACAATGTTACTTATTTTTTGCTGTTTTTATTAAAAATCTTATTTTACTTATTTTGTTTTATTTGATTTTTGTTCCAAAGCTTGTATTCACGCCTGCTCTGCTATTTTAAATTGACATTTTGTATATTAATATGATTTAATATGTATAAAGAGCTATAAATAGGTTTGTTAAGTTTTGTGAATTCAAAACTACATACTTAATGGATTTTTTAATAACATAAATCTGAGCATACAGACAGTGTTGGGAAGGGTGGCAGTAATTAAAATGTTAGAGTGTTTAATTATAAAATATTATTATTTTGATGTATAAAGAAGTCGCTTCATTAATTATTTGAATAGGCCTTAAAAGTTATTATAAGACTTTTCACCGATATCTAATTATAAAGTAGACTTGTGCGAATTTATCAAATAAAATCAATGCTGGCAAATTTTGTAATTTTGTGTCATACAATTTATTCTTTTCAAAACTACAGACTTTTAACTTAATTTAATTATTGTCTCACTAATTCACTTAAAATTTTGAAGAGAAATGACATGATCTATTATATGAATTGTAAAGTATATATGTACAAATCCTCTAGCTCTAGAACGTTTGAATAACGCAATTTCTACCTTTCAGAGCGTAACCAAAGTCTTTTTATAGATTTGGGCTGTATAATTATTATTACGTCATAGACCTACAAAGAACAGATATGAGAATTATAATTTTACAAATGGTAAAAAGTTGGATATGACAAAATATAAATTACATTCACTTGGATTTATTAGCTGTCATGTCTATTTGTTTTAGACAAGAAAACATTTTTTTACATACAATTTAAAAAGAAATATTTATATAACAAAACCCTCAAACGTTATGTTATTTGTAAAACAAACTTATTACTAAGAACATTTCGAATCAAATGGAAGTTTATTGACAATATGGTATTTAATAAAATCAAGTGCTTTAAATATTTTTCAAATTGTTAAAATAAACAACTTCATGTGTATAAGCTTTTTAAATAATTGTTATAATTCCAAAATACAATTAATATACAAGAGCCTATTATAGTAAAAAAGGACGGTAAAACTGAAATTACTTCTCAATCTTAAGTCTCGGCTGTTACTATAATTACTGGTCAAACGCATAAAGAATGGCTTAATTCTGTTTTTTAATACGATCACAAAACGATTCCCGAGGGAAACCAATAAATCGGGACGAGACGGTCAATTAAATTGTAATGGGAAATAAGATTTGAAATATTTACCGAGCTCTATGACGCCTACGAAGATTAAACGATCCATTAAAATAGTCTGTACTTATTCATTTGTATTGTATATTATTATAGGCATCTACAAGAAATATTGCAGTCGCAATAATAAATGCTCCATAAATTTGTCTTGTACCCTTGATTCAAATTCTTAATATCACATTAACAACAATAATTGGAAATCATTGATTCATGAATAATATTCGATGTGAATATAATAATTGTCATTAACTGTTAACAACCCTAAAAGTTACAAAAAGTATTACAGCGTCAAAAGTATCATCAAGGATTTGATCATAACTTACTTATCTAGTAAAAAAAATCTTTTGGTTATCATCTCACATAGCCAGAAAAATGTTTTATGATTTTTATTCCATTTTATTAAAATAAAGCAAATACAATAACGATTTTTCAGTATAAATGTTTGGATGGCTACAATTATAAGATATTTTTAATATACATATAATCATTAAACATCCCCCATTTCTTTTGGGAAAGCAACCAAAAGGAACCAAGCTATTAGCTAACGTAAGGATTATTGTAATATATATAATTTTAGACATTATAACACCATGCTTGCTTAGAAATTATCCTGGAAGTATAAAAAATTGCTATTCTCTCAAAACTTCATTTTTATCGAAATTAATATATCATAAGAGTAAAGGATTCCATACAGAAGTTTTAGTGAAATTTTCTCCGTTTCTCTTTAAAAAATAGGGCTATTTGAAATTTTTGCAAACTTTTTGTGGAAGACAAACTAAAATTGGCTAACAGATAAGCCACTTTGAAACAAATACGTACATGAACAGATAATGCCGTGCCTCCATTAACAGTATTTGAATGTAAAATACTTAAATGATTAATTAGTCTCCACTCCCATTTAATATTCTCCACTAACTATGTATTTAAGATTTTTCAAATATTTTGTGGACTTTCTTCCCTGAGTATTTAATAACTTTTAGACCAACTCTCATCCAACAATTAACATTCCTTCATAATCAAGCACCCTTACGATAGTATGAAATAACAACTTTATTAAAACTCGATACCTGAATATGCAACATGATTACAGCATCTAGTTAACCGCCTTATCGAACGCTCAGTTGTATTGAAAAAAAAAAAGTAAAAATTGTTACTTTATAATGTACCTGAACTGTCATTTAAAGAAAGCCACTTTAAAAAGACTTTTATACGATAAGTCATTGATACCAGAATTGCATGTCTGTGTTTAGTTAATACATTTATGTCTGCTTAGTCGGTAACAATTATAGTCTTTTTGTTGACATTGCGGGTTTATTTAAGAGAATTGAGGTAAATGGTTATCTCACAATACTCCACTGTTCAACCCAGTACTGAGTTGTATGGCGGTGGCAGTTCAGCCGTCAACAATATTATAAATATCACGTCTTCTTGTAAGTCATTGCGGTGGCGTTCTTAAATGAACAATGTTGTTGTATATATTTGTTTAAATATAAAATATATTCAGTTTTCAAAGATGAATTATGTAAAATATATGTTGGTGTTTGTTGTATTGTTTGTTGATATCGAAGCAGGCGGACATGGAGAAAAACACCAGTAAGTTCATTATTGATGAAGATATATGTATATTATGTTGTTGCGTTACTTGGGATTAATACTTTAAAATGAAATTATAAGATTGTTTGAATAACAATTAAAATATGTTTGCGCATGGTAAAGCGAAATTTAAATAAAGTTTATATTTATTGTTACAATATTTTAATTTTATGTGTTTATTTATTATTTCTTATTGACAAAAATTTCAGTAATCACGTCAGAGTCCACGTGCCCAAATTCGTTCACCATGACCATCACACTAAGACTATAACAATTCACCATCATCACCACAAACCTAAAAAGGAACATCATCACCACCATCATCATCATCATAAGCCCAAAGCTCCAGAAGGTCATCATTATCATCATCACCATAAGAAAACATCTACTCACAGCGTATCCAAAGGTCACTCTAGTCACGGAAAGCACGGTTATCATGGTCACCATAGCCATCATGGCCATCATGGTCATCACGGACATCACGGGCATGAACACAAGCACCACGATATTCCTTTAACATACGATTTACATTACGAGCCACCTAATTATGAACCACCAACCATAAATTACCAACCGCCATCGATAAGTTATAATCCCAATTCAGCATCGGAAGAAGATTTTGACTTTAAATCATTAAATGTAGGATCACCTAAAGTTCATGGCGTAGTTCATACAGTAAAAGAGACCAAAGTTTTTGATTCTTTGCCTAATGCGTTTGCTGGTGCTTCAGTTGGCAATTCAGGGAATACTGGTTCGCATGGTTATGAAGTAACAGAACAAGGAGAAGAGGCTGAGGACGATATATTTACAGCTGTAAATAGCTTGCCACAAACGTACCCAGGTACTTACGGCTTTGTTCGTAATGCAGCTCCAGAAAATATCCATGATCCTTTTGCAGATATAGCGCCCCAAAATAACAACCAAGGTTCTAGTGTCAATACTTTCCAAGGTGCAACAAACCCGTCATTTAGTAATGTTCAAGATTTTTCAAATCATAACGACCCCTTTCAGTCTCCTATACCAAGCCAAGGTATCCAACCCTCCGAATTTTCAAATGAATTTGATAACGCCAACCCAGGGCCATTTTCTGCCCCAAAACATCTCGTTGGTTTTTCAAGCGCTGAAGATTTAATCGATGACACTCCGACATCATTCAATAGAGAAGCTGGTATACAACAAACAATAAACACAGGGGGCTTAGAAACTTTAACCTATTAATGTTTTTAATGCGTGGTAAACAAACATTAAGTTTTTTTGTCAATAAAATATAAAAATAAACTCCAATTAACAAGTTATGCCATAGTTATTGTAGTTTTTAAGTGTTATATTTACATGTGTTTATGTTATTTCTTGCTTTTGTTTTTCAATAAAGTTTTAGAAAAAAAAAAACATTTCTTAATTATGTCTCATTCTAATTTATACCCTAAGAAAATTTATCTTTATCATTTTTGTTTCTTCACAAATAGCCAAATGATGACTATGAGAGAAATGAGTAAATTCATTTAATTTTAAGTAATAATTTTTAATATTTACTTTAATGGCTGTTGTCAAGGTATTCATTTTATTTCAGGGCTATTTTTTTAAATATGATATCTTAACATTTTATTTCTATTAGTAAATAATAGTCATTAGAGAAGTGTGATGAAAAATTACAATAAACAATAATAACTATTATGTCTCTTCCATTACCGTCGAGCTCAGTCCAGTTCAGTGAGCTCTAATTTCACGCACCACTTTTTGAATTGTGCAACATAAAAATAAACCGTCTCAAATGTAATCACCGTACTCAGGAAATGATAATGGTTGCACAACGTATACTTTTATTTTCATTTATCTAACTCAGGAAGTTGGTTGGTTTGCTTCCACAGTCTCTTTTATTTTGCAAGCCATTAGCCATCGCATTTATATGTATTTTAGATACATGCTGCACAAAAAGTGATAAGTAATATTATCATTAAAAACTCATTAAGATATAGTTTGTTACTGTTTTTGTTCCGATATGTAGTAATTTTAGTTATTAATTAACCGGGAAAAAAGAAAATCTTAAACAAAAATAAAATTCTAAACAAAAAGTTAATTAAAAGCCTTTTTTACTTTCACATTGAATACAAAAATTAGTAAAAACGAATTATGTGAGAAGCCTTATCACTTAACCATTTCTTTATGTTACGTTATTTTAATAAATTCTGATCTACAGAAAATTATTCAATAAGTTGTGAAGAAAGAACAAATACAAGAGAAAAGTGACCAGTTTCCTTCTGGGTTAGAGAAGGAAGTCATAATGATATTTCCTTTCTGACCCCATGTCCATTGACGCTTAAATACTTTTACCTCCCAAAAGCTTAAAAGATTTGATCTACATACTACACAAGACTAAAATAAAAAATATATAATTAAAAAAAAAAAAAATTCAAAATGGAGAAATGTAACTATCAAAGGACTAGTAATAATTTTCTTTCATATGACTTCTTAGATCTCCTGTTAGTTATAGTATGATGGCGATGAACTATAAGTTTCTAAAAATCTTTTAAGTGACTTATGTCGCTCTCATATTTTGTAGGGCTAAATTTCTTTTAATAATAATGGCTGACCCTGGCTAAAGCTGGGAAATTGTCAGGAAGAAGAATAATACTATCTTACTTTGTCAATATCACACAAGCCGCAGCAGTTATTATTTGTACGTGTTCCTATTGCCCATCTTTCCAGAAAAATGAACTATATTCGTACTAAACTTGTTGAAATATTAGAGTATGTTCAAAAGTTAATAAACCTCCTTTATAACAATATCAAAATTTTATTATAAGTATAATAAACATGTTAAATTGAGGAAGTAAAGTTTATATATTTATCGTCGCCTTTTTATGTTAAAAGAATGTGGAAGTTTTTATATTTTTTAAGACAGTAGATATCCATTGGGCGTATAAATACTATTCATATTAGATCTCAATAGTTTAAATTATTTTAGTTTAAATTATTAAATTCGACTCAAATTAATAAAATGATCTATGTTCCTTACATCTGTCGCATGTCGTATTACAGCCGGGCCACTGATTAAGGTTTAAATAGAAGTCTGAGTAGTCTATGTGAATATTGCATAGCTAATATTTCATACGTTTGTATATCTTGGCACTCATACATGTAAATTATGTAAATATTCATATAAATACTCGCGGTATTTACATATGTAAGTGTTATGATCAGTGATTTAAATAATTTTGTTTGGTCAGTTTTTGACATAAGTTTATCTTTATCATCTCAACGATTATATTTATTGTATACTATGCATTCTATTATAACTTTATTCCCATATTTTATTAAAATTAATAATCTTAATCGATAATAATAAAAATATAGTTATTCAGAAGATCCAAGAAGCTGGTTTCTAACATTGCGAATTCAGAAAACCACATCAAAATATTTTAAAAAATAGACACACTAAATGCATAAAAATTTATGCGATAATATTACAGGCAATAGATGATATTATTAGAGACAGGAAACATCCTATACTTGTACAGAGTTAATTTACTTCAAGCTTTGTGCCCACACTATCTTCCCAATATCATTCATTTTCTCTGTTAGCATTCTGTTAAAAAAAATCATTGATATTGGTGATTTTTTCAACTTATCTAGCTTTATTTCATTTTCTGAGTGACAAAATACTACTAAAAGCAAAATGCCCTACACATTTAATTGAAAACATTATTGCAGTGTCAGATTAAAGAAAACCTTAAATAAATAAAACTCACAGTAACATTGAAGTTCAACATTTAATTGTAACATTATTTATAAACTAAAATAGTTTCACAACGCTTTATAAGACTATATAAAAGTGTAAGAGAAATATAAAACAAATATGTTTACAACAAATAGTATAAATGCATAGAACATTCTTCTCTATTATTAAGCCTTGAGGTTACTATCCAGGAGAATGTATGTACTTATAATCATATATTTAACATATCTCCCGAAAATTTTGATGTCTCTATTTTGAGTGACAGTTAGATAGATCTAAAGTAATATGTTACATAAAGAGTTTGTCTGTCGGCTAAATTACATTGGATTAAAATATTTTTAGTATAATGAGATAATATTAAGTATATCATATTACCGAACAAAACACATGTCTAAAATTTGAAATTAGTCACGGGATGGATGATTTAAAACCTCGATAAGAAAGGTTTATGGCATATAATAAAAATATCACTATAAATGGGACAAAAGCTATAAAAACTCAAATGGCCCGTATATAATTCACTTTTAGTGTCGTATTAAATTATCAATAATATATTGTAGGGATTAGCGTTGTAACTTTGCTCATTAATATTTCTTTATAATTGGGTATTCGAACTATCTGGATAAAAACTTTGACAACGCTTTAGATTTTTGTACTTATTATAATTTTATACAAAAAAAAGATAAATCTGTGATTTGCCCAAACAACCCATATAAATATTATTTGAAAGACAAAAAGCCTTTTTGTATTCTAATCTGAGTAATACCCTTTTGAAACTTAAACTTATTTAGTCAGTCTACAAAGGTTAAATTTTAATAACCATGTCCTCCATAGTCATCGGCACTAAGTGAGTAACTACCGTGGTCGCCACCACTAAAACTGACTGGAGAATCGTGACTTTCTTCTGCAGCACTCCAACCATGTCCTGGAAAAGTGCATGAATAACATGAATATGTCTTACATCTTATGAAATCTAAAACCAACTGAATTCAAGCATCCAATTTATATATCTTACTCTTTCTTTTATTTCATTAGTTTGTTATATATTACCTCCACCGAAATGAGGAGCGGCTTTGGGTTCGCCGTATGTGTAACCGAGAACTTCATAATGATCATCGCCTCCACCGCCACCGCTCTTGTGGTGGATGTGCTTGACTATGGTGTGTTTGTGATGATGGTGTTTTACGAAGAGTGGTACATGAATAATAACTTTCTTATGACCACCGCCGCCGTCTGCCAGTATCATCACCGTTAAGTGAGTCGCTACCGCGAGTACAAACTGAAAGGATATAAAATATACATCAATACTATATGTCATATCTTGTAATTGTTAACATATAAATATTTAAAAAATATATCTAATGTTATCTTATATCTCATAGAACACGGTTAATATTTATATTAGCAAACCATGAATAAACAGAAAAATTATATACATATTAAGAGTGTAAAGTATCCTTTGTGTAGGGTAGGAACCCTATTCAACAATTACAAAACAACACAATTCAAAAAAATCGCCTTGCAATTTAGATGTTACATATTCGGCCTATTTTTATTCCAAAACAATTGTAAGAAATAATTAAATGTTATAAAAATATGTGTTAACTAATCATAAAGTTGCACAAGTAATGACAATAACTTTCTAAGTAATACAATAGAATGTCCCATGTAAGCGACTCCGTAATCATCACAGCTATTTACCACTACTTTTGATGTGGTAACAAAATGATTTACTTTCAAACAAAGAATAAAAAAGGAGTGTACCTCTCACTCGTTTTTAGGCTCGCAATCAATGCTTTAAAGAAAGTGAAATAAGTAAAGGGAATATAATATAATACAAACTGAAGACAATACTATTTCATTGCAATATAAGGGATCAAATAAAATGTAATTAAATTATATATCTGATTTGTTTATCTGTTTTTGTCTTATTTTGAACTTATAAAGAACTGTTTTTTGTGTGTAGTTTATATTGTTAAAAAACGTCAAACTGGATTTAACACAATTTGAGCGATCCTTCAAATAAAATTTTCTTTCTAGGCATAAGTGAAACGACTGGCCAAATAACTTCTAAATTATGCTATGTAAAATAATTATTATTATACTTTTACGACTATAAATTTTGCTTCTTAATATAAATAGTGGACAATGTATTAATTGGGTAATTTTGTTAATATCACCAATTACAGCTACACCAATTACAGTTTCAAAGTATCAAGTTATGAGGTAGAAATCTTCACCAAGACTTCTTTTACTTCAAGCGTTTTTTTATATTGAGTGATGCAAAGCTATTCAGTAAAGAATATAAAAATAAAAGTATGGACATAAAATATTTCGCTGAAATTTGTTTTGTGCAAAGCAACAAAATTATCATGCGTAAGCATATTAAAATTGTTTGAACAGAAAGATTTGAAGAATTTGAAATAATTATATGAAACTTTCATACATTCATCAGAATAGATCATATTTGTTATTTACATAAATATATATATATATATATATATATATATATTTGTATGTTATTCTACAAAATTTTTTTTTCAAAATTAACATATATTTATTATTTGTTCAATCCAAACACTACTTTATTGTGATTAAACTTACCAAAATTCGCAGGGACATCGCGAAGACTGGTCCAATCGCAAACACAGTTGGTGGTTATATGATAAAGATATTTTAACTTTACTTCCTTTTATATCGCAACGTGGACGTTTCGCGACACTGCCTTCGTTCAGATTCGCATATATGTAAATTGCGGTCTAATTTCGACTCTATTATTATAAAGACAAGTTCTAATTCACTTGAACAGACGGAATTTTTATTTTTCAAATTAGATACTTCTTAAGGGAAAATAAAACTCTTAGATTTATATCAAGAGTCCACAATCGAATGCCACATAACACAGTTATTACAGATAATAAACCTGTAACTATGTATATATGTTTAAAAAAAGTAAATATATATATATGTATATATATATACATTGTATTAACTTAGTTTTAGTTAATAGTTCAATACTTAATTAATGAAAAGAAATAGGTAAAATGTAGTGTGATTTGGGTAGCTGAGACACAAAAGTTCAATTCCAAAAATTTTATATGTATTTTGTTTCCATTTTACCATAGGTTATTCCTTCAATACGTTTTAAAACGAAGGTGAAAAAGATAATTCTGAACACAATACAACAAATACATACATTTAATTGTCTGACACACATTTAATTTACTGATACGTTTTATAAAAGAACAAAAACTAAATTCACGTAACACAACTATGACAAACACGGTACTCTCACTATCAAAATTACTAATGATTGTTCAATTTATATTCGACCGGAATACAAAGTGTAATAACATATTTAAACTGCATATAGCAGGTTTTTTTATAAAGCATATCTTCTCTTTAATAATAAACTAAGAATTATAAAAAAATATATACAGGTAAGTATTTAATAAGAGTAAAAAATTTATTTGAAACTATTTGTGACATAATTTCAATATATAACGTTCTTATTCGCGTTATAGGAAGTAAGTAAATTACATATTCTCGTGATACGTTTTACATAACAACGTTGATGTCTTTTGTATGAAATTGGTAATGATATTTTGTTTCCCCTATATTTCCAGGAACATGTCACATTATATTACTGAACCGTATTAGCCCATTACTTTAATGATAACACTAATAAATTATGTGAAACTAACAGGAAATTAATGTTGAATACTTTGTTTTGTACAATGAACTAAAAAATAAAGATCCAAAACTAGTAATGAAAAGCCAGGTATTTCGAGTTAAGTTTTAGTATCTGAATTTTAATCTTCAACTTCATGGTCCAAAAGTAAAAAAAGACAATAAAAAAAATCTACTCCATATTTCTTGTGTATGTTACTTGGAGACCTATTAAAATAATTTTTTCAGGTACCTAAGTATTATTTTAAATGGTACATATATAGTTTGCAAGGTGGTGGTGGTGGTAGGTGACTAGCGTCAAATTTTTAGGGACATTGTAACCATTGTATGTATATATTTATTTCTGTATTCAGAAACCTGTTACCACCGAGACCATACATTACATTATTATGTAATGTATGGTCTCGGTGGTAACAGGCTCCAACTCTACCTAGGAGCCCAAACCAACACTGCCTGCACGTAGCACCCCTGCTGGACAACAAAAAAGGCCCTGGCGATGCTTTCCCTCTGGACTTCACTCTAGAGGCTCGGGAGTCAGACGGCAGTCGTCTCGGTAATACGAGTAGGTAAACAAGCCAATAAAAATGATAGCAACATGGCTAGGGCGTCGCCGTATAACGACGCGCAGGGGGATCGCCTTGCCCCTGCGATAAGTGGGGAGGGCTACCGGGTCGCGCACGAACCTGGCTAAAGAAGTTAGCGCCTGTTGCGAAGATCCGCTTTGCCAGCTGGAACATTGACGCTGACGAGACGCTCTACAGAACTCGCGGCCACAATCGCCAGACAAAAAGTGGCGGTGGCGTTCTTGCAGGAGACTCGGTGGAAAGCCAATAGAAGCCAGCACATAGGGCATGGCTACAAGCTGATCAATACAGGCTCTTTTGGCGGGGAGAACGGTGTGGCGGTGGTGCTTTCTGAGCTCTACCATGACAGTGTCGTGGAAGTCAAGCGTATTTGCGATCGGCTTATGGTCGTAAGGGTATGGAGGGAGTAGTAACTCACCTCATAAGTGCCTATGCTCCACAGGCCGGCTGCAGTGATGTGGATAAGGCGCTGTTCTGTGAGCGTGTTGGGGACGTGCTAACCGCCATACCGTTTTCGCGAACTGTTCGTGTAGGATTTGCTGACGCGAATCACGTACGTATAAGATTATGTACGTATGTATGTGTGTGTAACGTGTGTGGCGGGAGTTGAGCGAGTGAACAATAAATATAGCGAAATAAATTAATATAACCAGTTGGCATCGAACATCCATGAGTTTCATTCCTCACGATCCTCCATAGTAACATCACAGTATTGTTTTGCGTGGTGATTTGAATAGTCATGTGGGAGAGACGCCCAAAAAGTATGAACGTGTTCATGGCAGATATGGTAACGGCTGAAAAAACGCGGAGGGAGAAACCTTTCTCCTGACCTGGCCGTAGTGAACACGTTTTTCAAAAAAGAAATCCTATCACGTTTAGGAGCAGTCGAAGCGCCACTCGAATCGACTACCTTCTGATTAGGAGAAGCCTTGTCAGCCGCGTGGCCAACTATAAAGTCATACCCAGAGTGTCTAACTGCCCAGCACCGACTCCTTGTTGCCGCCGTCAAATCAAGTGGTGGCTGCTGGATCAAACCAGGTTCTCGGAATTTGACTGTGCCACTGGGTACATAAGTCCAAATATAGAAGGCAAGTCCGTCGAAGAGTACTGGAATAAGCTTCAGATAACAATCACGAATAAAGCAAAGTAAATCCTTGGTGTGGCGAAAAGAGGCCGCAAAATTGACAAGGAGTCATGGTGGTGGAATGCCACAAAGGATGTTATAGGAGAAGAGAGTGCTCTTTAAGAAGTGGCAAGCGTCTAAATTCCCTGAAGATCACGAGTTGTACAAGATTGCAAAAAGAGAGGCTACGAAAGCTGTAGCCAGAGCCAGGCGGGAACACTTGCAACCAATATATGCGAAGTTGGACTCGCCTGAGGGACATAAGCTCATTCATAAACTAGCACGCTCTAGGATCAGGGCGACGCAGGATGTAAGTCACTGTCGCTGTGTTACGGAACGCTCTTGTACGATGAGTGTGCAGTGAAGAAGAGATGGCGCTTTTATTTCCACGGATTACTGAAAACAACACCAAAAGGTGCGACCACCCGCACCACCTCACAGGACTTGTGCCACCGATTGCGTCTGGTGAAGTACTCGATTCTCTTCGTCGCATGAAAAATCGGAAAGCCGTCGGACCGGATGAGGTATCAATTTAAGCGTGGAAAGCGATGGGTGCTCATGGTGTGTGCATCCTTACCAGTCTTTTTAACCTAATTCTGAACCACCAAAAAATGCCGAATTAGTGGAGGCTGAGTTTCATAACGCCGGTCCACAAGGGCAAAGGGTCTGCTCAGGATTGCGGTAACTACCGCGGTATAAGAGTAATGTTACACACTAGGAAACTCTTCGAGCGCATAATTGATAACAGAATCCGGCAGGAGTGTACAGTGTCGGATTCCCAGTACGGTTTCCAACCGGGACGCGGTACCATGGACTCTATTTTCGCCCTTAGGATTCTTATGGAGAAACACAGGGAAAAGAATATGCCTCATCATTTCCTATTTCTGGATTTGCAGAAAGCCTTTGACCTCAACGCCCTCCAGAGAGATAATCTGGTGGGCGTTGAGGTCCAAGACGATGCCAAATACCTGTGTAGAAACCGTAAGAGACATGTACCTTCATTCCGATGCAATAGTTAGGACCGCTGTTGGTGACACCACACCCTTCCCTATTACTGTAGGCGTGCATCAAGGATCTGTCCTAGGCCCATATCTATTCAGTGTGATATTAGACGAACTGTCAGCCTGTGTATAGAAGTTACCACAGCCTTGGCTGCTTATTTACGCTGATGATATCGCACTGGTGGATGAGGACAAGGAACGTTTAACGCGGCGTGTGCACGAGTGGAAAGGGGCACTTGCGAACGGCGGGCTGAAACTTAATGCGACGAAGACGGAGTATAAGCCATATACTTATATAGTAATAGCTCGGCCCTTTATCTGGATACACGACGTCATGGTAGGGCGGAGGAACATTTTAAGTACCTCGGATCTGTGCTCAATGCGTCCGGAGATATCGATAGCGACATCAAAGCCCGTATAACTGCGGCTTGGGCGAAGTTTCGTGAGAGGTGATGAGAGTTATTTGTGACCCCAAAATGCCGGTCAAGCTGAAGCTGATCTATAAAACCATCATTAGGCCTGTCTTTATGTACGGCCTTTGCTTGAGCGGCACCGGCGGTTGTTGCATGTCACGGAGATGAATTCGCTACTACCTACCTGGCACCAGGAGTAGAGGAAGGCCCAAAAGACGTTGGCTTGATGTCGTGCGGGATGACATGCATGCCAATGGACTCAATAAAAAGGATGCCGAAGACCTCATAAAGTGGAGGAGGCTGAGTAGAAAAGCGGACCCTGGGTTCTCCTGCCCTGGGTGGGACGGAAAACCGGGATAGACACTAGAATGATGATGAATTTAATGTAAGATCTTATTTTAGGCACCTCTATTACATTTTACCTAACAAAGTAACCACAACCCAAACTGCATAGACGTTAAAAAAAATATAAAATTCTGCATTCTGGCCCTTGTGAGCTCCTATTCTATTTGTTATCTACACGAATTCGTAAATTTATTCATATAAAATTCGATTATCAATTTATTACTTCACACAACTCTATGAATGTGATAATTTAAATATTATGTTCGTAAGTATAATATTGTTTGAATATGAAGGTGATAGGGAAAGTTAATGTAAAACTTGGTGATCCGTGGAATGAACTACTCAACTTGAAACTGATTTTACTGAGTATGAAGGTCAATGAAGAAACGTAGTTAGGTGATGAAATGAAAAAGAAATCACTCCGGCAGTAACATAAATTACTTTAATTTTTTAAGTGAAATCATTA